ATTGGAAACGTCTTTCAATACAGTCGAGTCCAGAACACCACTGAATATATAATAGTCTTAGAGTTGGATGATCTCGTCTCTGCACACTGCCATCGCAGAATGAACATTACAATATCCACAAAGATGGATAGATATCGGAGAGCTACTGTATTTATAGACTCAGCTGTTAAAGTGGTCCTTTCAGAATACATATGATTCAGTAGGTTGAAGGTCAACTGCAAGTCAAGTAGAATGACTGTACAGTACTTATACACCACGCCAGATGAAAACCTCACTGCGTGACCTTTGAAGCTGTCGCATCAGCTGTCTCAGTCCGCCACGGAGCCCTAACATGTGCACTAATTCACCCCGGTTTGCAGTGGCTGTGATTGATGCTTGGCAGGACATCCAAAAGCGTTATAAATTGGCATGTGCCTGGGGCACAGGAAGAGGCAGAGCGATGAAACAAGCGCTGGCAGCTCCCTCGGATGTTTACCTGAGACGGTTTCTTTTCTTTTTTTCGGACTTTTCCATGCAAATCTTGTCAGCTATGGGAACTTCAATTTAGGTTTTTACTATAATTTTGAATTGAACATAAAAATAACAAAAAGATTCATGCTGCTCTTTGGATTTTCTAAACAAAGTACTGTATAAATATACTTTTCTCTTTAAATTTTATAGAGTATGTCAATATCAGTTTGTGCATGCAACATTTGAGCCTTTTGTAGATGTAGATATAGTACATTGCTTTGTTTGTGTTTTTTGTCTTGTCTGTTAGTGCTACTACTATAATTATAAGATTGAGATGGATTGTGTAGCTCAGGATGCTGGAATATGAAAATATGATCATTTTGGTCTTAGAAGTCGTAAAAATTTGAAGCCGGATGAAAAAGGTTGCAGTTGGAAAAGAACAACACAGACATTAGGAACAAAAGGAGAACATTAGAGGCGGGGGGGAGAAGAGATGCCATAAAAGTGTCTTTTATGTCGGCCCAACTGGAGATGCATGAATAAATTCAACTATTTTCGATTGCACAGCGTGAATCTACAGTTTTGCAAATTAGACTTTCAGCATAACAAAAGTGGGTTAGCCAGAAAGCCAGCGATATCCTCCTGCTTTTCCCCCCTATTTTCCCGCTGAAAACCATCACTTAGTTTTCCATCAGCCTTCTCAACACCAAAGAAACAGCCACTTATCGTCTAGGAGGCTGCAGCTCTGATGTGGTGACAAGTGCCAACATTTACACTTTAACTGAAGACTCTGCTGCAACAGAGATGGAGTACGTGACACCTGCTCTGACTGAAACCATACATCACTTGTTCTCTTTCTCCCCCTTTCTGTGTAAGTATACTCAGCAGCCTAATCCTGCTGGGGGAGAACAGTTAAACTGCTATCAAAGTGAGTGGCGTTGAGCTCATATTTGATGTGTACTGACTTAAAGTTATTGAAAAACCTGCAGACAAAAGGTCACGCTGAACCCTGTCCGGGCATTTGTAACAAAAGGCTGTGAGGCTGCTTCGCATGAAAATAAACCTCCTCTGCCTTCACTGCTCATTGTTGCAGTAAAATGCTCTGACACTGATTACATTTTTTTATTACAGAAAATTATTAATCAACATACCATGCATTGATTGTCTTGCAATCCCTCGAGAAAACAGCTACGGTTTCATTTACTGCAAATCAATTTGTAGTAACAGGTTCATGGGAGCTGAGGTAGAATAGTGAAGTTTGCCACATGGTGACTACAATGAACCCGCCAGTGAGCAATTGAAACCCACTGAACAGATTGACACGTCGATGACTTCCTCCAACCCGCTGTTTTGCCTAGAGATGTGGAATACTCGCATCACGTTAACACAGTCCGACTGGGCTTCGGGCTTCCTGTATCTGTGTGTGTGTGTGTGTGTGTGTGTGTGTGGTACTTAGCGGCAGGTTAAAGTATTATTCTGACGGCCTTACCAGGATGACTGCTAGAGGCCTAAACAAGGTCATTCCCCTGAGCTACCGAGTGCCAGCCCCTTCAAGGTTGTTGTCAGCAACAAACCAACAAAATGCACCACACCTCTACATCCACCCACACCAATAAAACATTCCTCATGACCACTCCCAGCGGGCGACGAGAGAAGGAACGTGTGAATCGAAAAGGGGAGCAGCCAGTCCAGTTTTGTTGTTCGCCTCGTGAGCAATTGAACAGTTCTCATGCAGTGAACGCAGGTCCTGTTCTGGGAAGCACTTAGAAAACGCACGAGCAAACGAATAATTTGTCATGCATGTTGCTGCCCTACGACTGCAGTTTCTCTGGGGCCTCAACGATCAATTATTGATCTTTTATTACAGTTTAATGTAGAGGGTACTAATGGCACCTACGCGTTCTTCTTTAGATCAGTGATTATGTGAGGAGCAAAGGCAAAAAACATCAATTCAAATAACACTGAAAATGGTCTTTCAAATTCACTGTCACTGATGCTCTTTGACATGAATACCCATGTTGTACCTTCACGAGAAGCTACTCAAATAACCTTTTTTTCCCGTCCGAACGGGAGTCTCTGTCTTTCAAGCAGATTCAGGGCAGATTTTATTTTTGCCAAACATCATATAATCTCTGGGCCATCTCAGTAATGCACCTACAATATTAGTTCTTTGTTGTGGGAAAGCAAAGCCTATTAGTGCTAAATTCCTCTTACTGCTTCGCATCTCTGAGAAAATTCAATCTTAATGTGAAACTACTCCTTTGAAATGCTGTCCTGATCTACATGAGAAGAGCAGTGGAAGGAAGTCACAAACAAAACTGACATGACGGAATGAGTCACAAATCAGAAACAAATCAATTGTGCAAAACATGCAAGACACAGCAATATATATATATATATATATATATATATATATATATATATATATATATATATATATGATGCTTTTTGGTGTCTAAAAAATATTTAGACACCAACAAACATTGAAATAATGAGGGATTGTATGTTTTGAGACGTATATGGTTGAGAAAATAAGCAGGGCTCAGCTTCCGCTCATAGTGAGGCTGAATAAATGACTCAATCCAGCTCAACACATCTCTTATTAGGAAGGCACGGTCTGAGCGAGATTTCTCTGTGGCTATGATTTTTCCACACGCCTGTGTCCCACCACAAGAAATTTTAAAAGACATGGAGCCCTCCAGGAAGACAATTAGAGTGATCTTTCCCTCAGCATGCAGCGCCTTTGTGCTGACAGCAATCTACATGCACATTATGCATAATGCGGCCCTTAAAACGGCACTCTTCACTTGTTGTGGGGGATCCTCAGCAGGCTAACTGTGCGCCGCACCACACAGACCACCAATCAAAGTCTAAAGGACTGACCCAATCAAATCAGATGAGTGGAGGAATGAACTGGCTCTCATACCACACACTTTATTGCAGCATGTTACGGCTCTAAGCCTGCCCACAAATAGGATTTCATCCACCTCTGACACTAGGTGTTACAGCAGTGAGGAAAAGAGGGTAATCGCAACGACTGGCAGTAAAGAGGTTTAGACAGCAGTCATGCTGCTGTGCTGCGAGCGGGTGTCAAAATGGAAAACCACAAGGGCACAAAAAGAGAACTCATGAAAAGCCCATTGAGGATGACAGAGTGGGTGAAGTCAAGAAAGTATGACAAACACATATCCATGGAGAGGTAAACGAGGGAACAAAGGGTGACAAAGAAATCAATAGAGCAGGAAATGAAATAAGGGATCGTGAAAAATGAGAATATGTGTATTCACCAGCTCATTCAACCTGCCTTTTAGTCCCCTGAGACATTTTCTCACACATGTCCATAAATGTCATGGACATCCCCGGAGGGCCGTAAGAAATAAAGCTGCTATTGCTTTTCACTGTACAAACGTGTTGACTAGCATATACGGGGGATGTGTCGATATAGTTCACATTCATCATAATTCATGTGGGATCAGTAAATTGTAACGCAAAAGATAAAAAATCCACAAAGTCTTGTGTGATTAAATATGGAGATTTAGGAGATCATTTTAATGTCACCAAAATCAATTAAGTCTTCCATGCAACGAACGAGAATATCCCAGATTGATGTACCCGAGTGATTGTAACAAGGTCACAGTGGTGTCAGTTAAAGCGTATGTGAAGGATTCAACGCATTGCCGTTAATAACGACAGCGGCAGATCACAGACTGTGCAGCCATCTGCCTTCACAGCACCACTGCTGCTATTTGAGAGCACTATTGTTTTTCTTCTGCATAACAACATGACAGAGAACACACCTTGATTTCCTGACCTCTGCAAGCTTTGCTTTGACAAAAAAAAATAGTGATGCTGTTTTTATTCTTACCACTGCGCTTTAATGATTGAATTCTGAAGAACTGCACCTTGCTTATTTGTATACATGTACACGTTGTAAGTAGAAAATGTTAAAGGCATCGGGTCCAAACACAATTAAGCACAATTAAGGGAAATAATTTACAAATGTTGCAAAGATTTTAAAAAATCTATTAAATGCAGTGAGGTTTAACATTGTAATCAATCCCTTGCAGACTTCAGTTAATCACCATTTTGTACCATGGAGTAGCCACAGTGTGTGTGTGTGTGTGTGTGTGTGTATGTGTGTGTGTGTGTGTGTGTGTGTGTGTGTGTGTGTGTGTGTGTGTGTGTGTGTGTGTGTGTGTGTGTGTGTGTGTGTGTGTTGGGAACATCATTAACTGTAAAGCAGAGCATGATAAATGTGCATCCGGATACAGCTGTTTGAAAGAGGAGAATGTGAATAAGCAGCAATCCCAGGTGTAATCCTGATAAAAGTGAGTGGTGCGCAAATGTAGCGTTAGTGACGGCTATATGCACTGCACTCACCATAGCAACGCCCCCAGTAATCTCTCTTAGTATAATGAAAGATTTACAAACGTGCAAATAGCTGTATGTGATAATGTGTTTGGGACAGATTATAGGAGTTTAGAAAAGTATCGTGCCAGATGAGTCAACTAACATTTTGGAGTGTGAAGCAATCCAGTATCACAATCAGATGAATTGTATTGCATTGTACTGCTTTTAGTTTATTTTCCATAAGCTTGCATATACAGTGACAAGGATTTAAGACATGTTTATGTTATACTGTTTAGTACATGCATCATATACTAAAGACGTATGCTTATAGTTTTCTGAAATTAACAAATCAAATGAAAAACAATGCATTATGTCGTTTTTTAGGAACAAATATAATTTATATCTTTTTTATGAATATGTCATATGGTCATTTTCTATTTCACAGAAAGAAAAAAGAAGAAAAAGAAAACAGTTTCCTCTCTGTTGGCGCCATCTTCTGGAGGGTACAATACAATTCAATGAATTTCAGATGCTCCTCACTTGACATTTATTAACCAACGTTTTGCAGATCTAAAATGTTCTTCAGGAGTGTTCGTATTGGTGGCATTGTGGATTATTATCTCATGATTGGTTTTACTTATTTCAAGACAAATAGAGACGGGTACATTTATCTAAAAAAATGAAAATCTTTAAAATTACAAACTAGATAAATGTAGAGGGCAATGTGGTTGTCTATCTTTTGTTTTTATTCAAGTAGCTGTCTCATATTCCTCCCTATAGATATTTTAGAGTTTGCTGTCCTTCATGCCTTTGGGGTTTGAAAAGAAATGAAACAAAAATGTTACAAATACAAGATAAAAATATATGAAAGATTATCTTAGAAATGATCATAAACAACTATACATTATGTCCCAATTCAAATGGTAATACATCATACATTTTAGTTCTAACTTGACTTAAACCCAAATCAGTAAGCAAATCTCCCAAGTACAATTTACACATACATCATTTAAAAAAATGTCAAAACGTATATTTGTAATTCATTTTCATCATCTTCTAACATCAAATCGTTTTCATCAAGGTCGGATCCCTGTCCGCTGGACCCGCTGTGCTGTGATATAACCTCTAGGGGGCGGTAAGACCAAACAACCTGGATGACAGCTACAGTATACAGCCGTAGAAGAAGAAGAAGAAGAAGAAGAAGAAGAGGGAAGCGGCGCATACGTCATTCATGTACGGTCCGTAGGCTGGAAACAGAAATGGCGGGTTCCATAAACTACTGTCCGCACCGGGACTGAGCAAGTAACGGCGGTGCTTGCGATGTCGAAGATTGGAATAACGTTACAGTTCCTCTGCACAATACGTGTTTAATCTTAACTAACGTTACATCCCGACACATGGCGAGTAGCGACGTCCCTAGTTCCCTAGTTCCTCGTGTTTTTTGTTTTGTAATGCTAAACGCAGAAGCGTCATCACCGATATGAAGGCAGTGTTTTACACTGAAAGAACCTTCATCATCAATTAACGTTAACTTTCCGGGTGAGTCCCCAAATAACACGGGTAGCTGTTAAAAAAAAAGAAAAGACACTCATTGGCTCACCTCTTTGTGATTGTAGGGCGTCCAGATGAGCCTCAGACAATGTCAGTCAACGGAAGAGTGATCCCCAACACCCCGCTGGCCGTGGACTTCTGGCACGTGCGGAAGTGTCCCGGCACGCGGCTGTTTTTCCTGTCCCACATGCACAGCGACCACACGGTGGGTTTGACCTCCACGTGGAGCAACCGGCCCATCTACTGCTCCCCGACCACCGCCGCTCTGCTCAGACTCAAGCTGCAGGTGAGGGTCGCTCCAGTGTGTGTGTGTGTGTGTGTGTTTGGAGAGGGGCTGTTCCCGTTAGATATCATATTTAACATTCATTGTTTTTCTCACTTCAAAGCCACTTTACCTTCTAAAAGGTTAGAGGGTTAAGTCAATATTTATTGATCTGTCCTCAGGGCCCAATTCTCTTCTCACTTTGTAAACATATTTGTTGTGATTAACATTATTCCAAGCCCTTGTCACGCATCGTTTAGAAGAAAATCAGTTTTTTTAAAGATTTCTTCTGCTGAGCTTTTTTTTTTTATTTCAGGTGAAAGAAATGTGGATCCATCCGTTAGAGCTGGATGGTCCTTGCCTGTTGCCACTTGATGACATCGGCAAGGAGCGACTAACAGTCACACTGATAGACGCCAACCACTGTCCAGGGGCTGTCATGTTTCTCTTCGAAGGATACTTTGGCTCTATACTTTACACCGGTCAGTGTCTGAGTGCATAGGCAACAACTTTTATCTGGTGCTTCTGGGATGTAGCAAAAGGGTTTCATCATCATATTTCCCCATTATTTTTGTTTTTGCTTTACTACATACTTGTATTTGATGACATGAAATATGTACAGGGACGCAATCACGTAAACATTGACACGCATCTATTTCAGGTGACTTCAGATATACTCCCTCCATGTTGCGTGAGCCGTGTCTGTGGGCCAACACCACAATAGATGTCCTGTACCTGGACAACACCAACTGTGATCCCAACCGCCCCCTCCCCTCCAGACAGCGAGCCACTCAGCAAATCAAGGAGATCATCCGCAGATACCCCGACCACAATGTTGTCATAGGTAGTTCTAATTAAACATTTTAATTTCTATACTTTGTCCTCGTTTCAACAGGATAAACATGTAGGTTTCTTTCCACCATGTTTTTCTATGTGCTGTTTTTTGAAAAAAATTCTATTGCATCACATCCACACTTCTTTAATTAAGGGGGTTTAATCAACGTTAAAATAAAGCTAACCGCCTGAAAATGATGTTGGTTAGCCAGGTTGCCATTGCTGTACTCTTTTATGTGACATTGCTGTTGCTCTGCTCTGAGACAGACCCTCACACTCTCTTGTGCTTCCTTGCAGGCCTCTATACACTTGGAAAGGAAACCCTGCTGGTGGAGCTGGCCATGGAGTTTAAAAGCTGGATCGAGGTGAGCGTTGAGAGGATGGAGACCCTCAAAGTGCTGGAGCTGCCTGACGTCTTCACCACTGAGCCAGGAGCCGGCCGTTTCCGAGTCGTAGAGCAGTCCCAGATCTGCTCTGCCACTTTACAGCAGTGGAACAGAGGACAGCCTACCTTGGCCATCATTCCCACCAGCAGGCCCCAGGTGTTTTTTTCACCCCAATGTCCATGTGGTGCCGTACTCCGACCACTCCTCTTTCCAAGAGCTGGAGGATTTTGTCTCTGCACTTAAACCGACATCCCTCGTACCCATTGTAGGAAACTACGTACCCGTAGGTTTCTCTGCCTTACTGCCCGGCAGAAAGCGCCAAGACATCCTGGTGCCTGAGTCCGTCCGACACTACATGTTGAGGCAGACCGAGGGCCAACTCGGCTCCTCCTCTTCCTCCTGGGACAACCATCGCGGGAAACGTTCACAAGGTTTTGTTCCCACAGGGGTGATATTTGAAACTCCTGAAAAGGAATCCGGAAAATCGTGCGGAGAGGCAGAGTGCACGGAGCAGGGCGCTTCTGAGGGAGAGGTCGACACAGAAAGTAGTGAAGAGGACTCTGACTGCATCTTTGTTGACGTGAGCAAGGACCTCACCCCTAACAAAAACCGAAGAGGGACTAGAGATATGTGGAGGCTCAACATCATCCAAAGAGTGTCTGAGGATGCGGTGATGGCTGAGACGGTGCCCTTCAGTCAACTCAGCCAGAGCAACTTTGCTCCAATGAAGATCCTGAGAAACACCAAGCCCTGCTTGATGTCGGTCAGAAGGACAAGAGGGTCTATTGAAACCAATGCCGAAATGTTGAACAACACAACTTCAAAGGAAAATGACAGCGGCCAGTGTAGCAGATATGGTGATGTTCATAACCAACACGTGCTGTCAGTGAGTGGCGGGATGAGTGGGCACAGTGCACAGGGATATGATCAGATCAGCGACGCAATGTCAAATGAGCAAATAAACAACACCGGGACAACATTGCAGCACAGCCTCGATAAATATTCCTGCTTTTCATCGGACTCGCAGACCGATGTCAACCAGGAGTACATGGAGGAGCTTGAAAGCAGTATTTTGAAGGCGCTGTGCTTCACCGAGGAGGACGTGAAGATGTGCGGCCTCTTGCAGCAGAGCTATGTGCAACAGTTTTCTCTCTCTCCTCTCTGATGCCCCAGAGGATTAACCTTAAAAATAATATGACCTGACATTTAAGTTATTGTTTTGTGTTGAGCACTAGAGCCATCCTTATTTTCTCATTTGGTAATTTCCTAATTTATGTGATCATTGTGGCCTTGGTTGCGTATGCCAGTGCAGCTTTCTTTGGTTTAAAAAATGTAACCGCGCCCCCTTTTACATTGTTTATTTTGAGCTGTTAAAAATGTGTGATATGTCAGTTCTGCCCATTTCAACTTAGAAATGTGTATATTTCTGTGGCGCTTTAGTAATGGGCACTGAGTAATGAGAAATATTTAAGAGTGGTGTCAGTTTTTATTTGTGAGAATCAAGGTGTTAAAGATAAATGGTTATTCTTGGTATCCTCTGTATTCTTTTGAGTCTAGAGGAACTTTATAATGAAAAACATTTAAGAATTTACTGTAAAAAATATAGTGTGCTTTCCTGTATATTATTAAGCAGCCGTCTTTTTTATCAACTACAATACATCGGTGGGAAAACATTTCTCATGATATCGGTCATATTGAATAACTATCCAAGTCCATGAGCCCAAAACTCCTTTCTTAAAAACAATTAACCTTTTCTGCTTCTGGTAGTTGAAACAAAGCCACATATTACAATGTAACCCTTGATCTAAATGTGACTTGCATATTGTATTAGGAGACATGTGTGATAAATTGCTGCATTTGTATTGATGTCATATTTACAGTATGAGCCGAGCAGAATTGTCTGAAAAGTCAAATGTTCCTCCTCAGAAAATGTATTTATTGAGTCAAGGAAAGTTAGAACAGTGATATTTCCTTATAGGACAACTGTTTCCTGAATAAATAGCCCTTTTTATTTGCAAATGAACGTGTTGTGGTTAAAGAAGTTAATATCTGTTGTAACATCTGCTGTAAATGTATGCTACGGATTCACAGCTGCTTGCAATGTTGTCATTCCTCCCCAAGATGGCAGTAGTTTTTTTTTTTAAACAGCCGTTGCTTTTACTTTGGCTTCTCCTTTAATGGGGGGTTTAGGTTGCTGCAGTATCCAATTCCTGCAGCATAAAAAAAAGCGAGTATATTTCATGAGGAAAAGCGTGCTGAGCAGTAATGATTCAGCTCTCAAAATGTTCCCATTGAGTCTCCATGGTAAAAGACCATAAAAATGTTGTTTTACTACAGTTAGCACATCTAGAAAAGGGCTGATTCGGATGAATCAAACCCCTCTATTAACCATAAAGTGCTGCGGTTCATATGCCGCAGTATCTCTGTCTAATTGATGTCTCAGAGATTTTATGCTTTGGATATTAGGTATATAACCAGGAAAACATAACTGCAGTCAACTCAGCAAACAGTTGAGTTTTAGTTCATCGATGACACTTAGGGAATTAAACATAAAAGCGGAATAAAAGCTATTTCAATCCGGAGAGACTTCTTGAAATTTTAACAATGCTTTATTATAACAGGCATAAATACTTATATTGCAAAGTTGTTTGGGGCTTGGACTCCATCCTGCCGCAGGGGCCAGGATGCTGAGATGAGGCATATCCCCCCTTTGGGAGTCCAGACACTGGTGGTGGTGGTAGAGCCTAAGTAGCTCCAATCTCCTGATATGCCAGGTTCTGCTGTAGATTGGAGGTGTCATTGACATTTATCGCCAAAATATGTCATACATACAAGGAATGTGACTTGGCGGTTGGTGCGTGACAGTAGACAGTATGACAATAGACAAACTAGCAGTGCACGCGTAATAAAATAAAATGCTAATGTTAACTACCCCATAGCATTAGCATTTTATTATATGGGTTAGTTTAAAATAAAAGAATAAAGTTAGATTTAAAAATATGAATTTTAAAAGAAAGTGACCAGAGGAATGTCAGAGTCAGTCAGTGGATGACCGGGCTCTGTTGATGAGCCCGACTGCCGAAGGGAAGAAACTGTTCGTGTGGCGGGAGGTCTTAGCCCTGAAGGGACCTCAGCCTCCTTCCAGATGGAAGGGGCACAAACAGGTTTTGTCTGGGGTGAGAGGGGTCGGCTACGATCTTTTGGGCTTGTGTGGCAGTATGCAGTGATTGGTCCTAATAACTTTCAGCTGGGTCTGGATCACAGCCAATCGCTGCATGACAATGCGGTACAAAGGCGGCCTCAGAGCACCTGTCTGCATTTCATTAGCCAGGCGTCTTTCACGCGGCGCTGTGTGGTGACAGAAGCTCACTGGTGTGGCTGCATACTACTCTCCACCTGATGCACTCAATGTCCGCCGCTGGTAATTCTCATGGTAGCGTCGATCCCTCCGACCCACGCTGTTTGGCTGAAGCGGCCTGACCGGGCATGGATCACTGAGCATCAGCTCTACACCCGCTAACCTGCCAGAGACCAATGCTTTGCTTAAATTAACCCTGTTTCTTTGCCTTTTGTTAAATTAACCCTGTTTGGGTTTGCCTTGTTTTGGCCTCCTAACTAGGTCAAGAAATATTTTAACTGTGTACGAGAGACAGGCCTTACTTATTTGTTTGGATCCTTTGTTATTTGTCTGTGTAGCTGAGAGTTTGTCCTGCAGCAGAGACGGGATGATGGTGTTGAAGGCAGAGCTGAAGTCCACAAACCGGATCCTGGCGTAGGTTCCTGGGGAGTCCAGAGGCTGGAGGATGTAGTTGAGGGCCATGTTGACAGCATCGTCCACAGACCTGTTGATTCTGTAGGCGAACTGCAGGGGGTCCAGGAGGGGGTCAGTGAGGGTCTTCAGGTGGGACAGGACTAGCCGTTCAAAAGACTTCATGACTACAGAGGTCAGGGAGGTGGGCCTGTAGTCATTGAGTCCTGTGATCCTGGGCTGCTTGGGAATAGGGATGATGGTGGAGGCCTTGAAGCAGGCTGGTACGTGGGGGAGGGGAAGGTGATACAGAGGCGTGAGCCCCTGATGGGCTGGGGGACGGAGGGGTGGGTGTGACGGCCCCAGGGCCACTGCCAGGGTATTTGTGGGTGTGTCTGTCTGTGTGTGTGTTACCGGGTAAACTTCCTGGTGGAGTGGAGCTGAGGCCATAAGGCAGATTCGACGCAGCTGTCCGCTGTCTCTTGAGTGCATTAAAACCTGCCCTTTCTGATTGTTTGGGGTTGACTGCTTGGGGTTCTCCTGGTCCCCAGCACAATAGTGTTTCCCTTTGCTGTGTTTTGTTTGTTTAATCAGTTTGGTGAATAAACATCTTTGGCTGGTTCTCCCTGGAGCGTGATTTCCTCTTATTTGTTGTGGCCTTTGAGCCGGACCATAACGTGGGGGACTGGGGCAGGTTGGTGGAGCTGTGGGGGATGGGATCAGGACATTGTCTATTGAATCTGCAGTAGATCTCATTCAGCTCGTTTGTAAGACTGTCTCACCGACCGTCTTACAGGCTTCAGGAATCAGGAATCAGGAAATATTTATTAGCCAAAATATGTCAAACATACAAGGAATTTGTCTTGGCGGTTAGTGCGCGACAGTAGACAGACAAGACAACAGTGCACAAGTAATAAAGTAGAATGAAATGCTAGTGCAATGGGTTAGTAGAATAAGGCTAAGGCTATGGGTTAGTATAAAACAAGGGAATAAAGTTAAAAAAAATTGAAATATTAAGTTAAAGAAAAATATTAAGCATAAAGTGCCCTAACAAACAAGTAACAGACAAGAGACAAAGTGACAAGTGACAAAGTGATGAATTGCAGTTAAAGTGGCATGTGCAGTATGAGGGGGAGTGACGGGTGGAGTGTTATGGTCAGGCAGTGGGGGATCGGGCTCTGTTGATGAGCCCGACTGCCGACGGGAAGAAACTGTTCTTGTGGCGGGAGGTCGTAGTCCTGATGGACCTCAGCCTCTGCCAGATGGAAGGGGCACAAACAGTTTTGTCCGGGGTGGGAGGGGTCGGCCGCGATCTTTTTAGCTTGCTTCAGAGACCTGGAAGCGAACAAGTCCTGCAGGGACGGCAGATTGCAGCCGATCACCCTCTCTGCAGAGCGGATGACCCGCTGAAGCCTGCCCTTGTCCTTGGCTGTGGCTGCAGCGTACCAGACGGTGATGGAGGAGCCGAGGATGGACTCGATGATGGCCGTGTAGAAGTGGACCATCATCGTCTTTGGCAGGTTGAGTTTCTTCAGCTGCCTCAGGAAGAACAACCTCTGATGAGCCTTCTTGGTGATGGAGCTGATGTTCAGCTCCCACTTGAGGTCCTGGGTGATGATGGAGCCCAGGAAACGGAAGGAATCCACAATAGTGACGGGGGAGTCACACAGGGTGATGGGGGAGGGTGGGGCTCTGTTCCGCCGGAAATCTGTCTCGCAGACAGTCCCATGACTGTCTCGCAGACAGTCCTACGACAGTCCCATGACTGTCTCACGACTGTCCTTCGTCCCATGGCTGTCTCGGACTGTTCCACCGACTGCCTCACACACTGTCCCACCAACTTTCTTACGTCTGTAAGACTGTCTCACCGACCGTCTTAGACTTCTCACGACTGTCTCGCAGAAAGTCCCACGACAGTCCCACGACAGTCCCACGACAGTCTCACGACTGTTCCACGACTGTCTCACGACTGTCCCACGACAGTCCCACGACAGTCCCACGACAGTCCCACGACTGTCTCACGACTGTCTCACGACAGTCCTACGACAGTCTCACGACTGTTCCACGACTGTTCCACGACTGTCCTACGACAGTCTCACGACAGTCCCACGACAGTCTCACGACTGTTCCACGACAGTCCCACGACAGTCTCACGACTGTTCCATGACTGTCTCACGACAGTCCCACGACAGTCTCACGACTGTTCCACGACATACCCATGACTGTCCCACCAACTGTCTTACGGACTGTTCCACGACTGTCTCAGGCTTTGTCAGGCATTGGATGTATACTGTTGTTTTGCCTAAAGATGTTGTTGAAGGCTTGGCCCACGCGGCTGAAGAACTTGCAGATACCGCTTCTCTGCCCCACGTGATTTATGATGATGGAGACGATGCAATCTTCAACTTCCTCGTCCCCCAATATCAAGCAGAGCAGCAAATCTGCTCTACCGCCCTTCATCTTGTACAGCTCATTGTACATCTTCTTGTGCAAGTTCTTGAAGGATTTTAGTTTGAGGTCAAAGTCCACATACTTGACTTTGGACAAAATCTTTTCAACCAGACGCTGAATGATGACCTCGAGTTGCCTGGTGCAACTTTCAATATTGAAGTTCTCCGCTAACCCCCAAACTAGGTCCTCTATGACCGGCTCAACACAACGTTTTTTTCTTTCCTGCCCTGTGTTGTCCTGTGAAGGTTCTACAGGAGAATTTGGAAGAACGTCGATCTGGTGGTCGACCAGCAACTGTGGTGAAGAAAACTCTTTGAACGGAACATTTGAACTTTGTGACTTTGTGACCTCAACTTTACTCGTAGTTGAAATTATCTCTTTAGTCGGTCCAATATTTTCAACCATCCTGAGAACCTGACAGTTATATAAATTCAACAAGTTCATGAAGATATATACTTTTTCAAAAATCTCTTCATCCATCAGTTCATTCTTGATAACACCCTGGTGTGTCATCTGAATTCTTTTGAAAAGGTCATCCTTCAGACGTGTTGCGATTGCAGAGATTTCCAAAACATTGTTGTGATTTTGTTCATTGTTAGCCCACTTCACCAGGTCTGACACAAAGGGTTGTATATCACCCATCAATATGGGGGAGTATTCTTCGTCCTTCAGGAATTTTTTCTGAATTTGATCAAGTATGTGATTTAGCAATTTTTCAACGAAGCACCCGATATAAATTTTCCCGAGAGTGGCACGTTGAAACATATCTGTCCCGCACATATCAAATACTTTTTCACTAACGTCCCATGGAATCTGTGAACTGA